CGGAGCATAGGCTCCGGACGCGCAGGCCCAGCGGCCATGGCTCACGGGCCCAGCCGCTCCACGGCACGTGGGATCTTCCCGGACCGGGGCACGAACCCGCGTCCCCTGCATCAGCAGGCGGACTCTCAACCACTGTGCCACCAGGGAAGCCCTGCTCATCATTCTTGATTCATAATCTAGTTGCTTGAAATTACATTAAACAACAAATATTTAAATAGTAAGCTTTGTTCCTTTTAAAGGAACTAAAGGCAGAATTTCTGCCAGCCAAAATTTTAGAGCTCATTTCAAGCTGACTTTGCCTGTGGGCTTGGAGGAGCGGGGTGCCTGCTGTGCAGCACCACCGAGTGGGTTCTGTGAAGGCCCTGAAGTTTCTTAATCCAGGTTTGGTAGCTACCAGCCCTGACACCTGTCAGGGCTGGAGGCGTAGATCGGCGCCCCGGGCCACTGGTGGAGCTGCCGCCCCGGCCTGGCCTGCAGGCTGGAGCCGTGGCTCCCGACGACGTGTGCTCCGAGTGCTGTGGGAGTTGTTTGGCAGCTGTGTGTTGATTAGATGTCTTTGGCAAGGCGGCTGGCAGGAAAAGGCCGTGGAGAAACAAAGGCACCAGGGAGGGCCCAGCCAGGTGAGGATGGAACGTGAGGAGAGATCACACGTGGCCCAGCCTGTGTCTTTCCAGCAGGATCTGATTAAAGCCAGTAACACTGTTGGGCGAAGGTTCAGGGCAGATGTCAGCATAGCGCAGTGGAGACTTTCTGCAGTGAAACTTTATCGAACCCTGGGGAAAGAGATGCAGCTTAACCCCAGCTCCCAGGAGTGCCAGGGCTAAAGGTACCTGACAGAGTGAATGCTAGAAATGCAGGGAGGCGGGGACATGTAAGTAAGTACCCACGTGAGAGTCACAGCAGTAGCAGGATTGAGTTAGTCAATGTTGTTGTTTTCTCCTTATTCTAAAACAGTGGCAAAGTCCAAAACAGTATTAAAATATAAAATTTCACATCCATTCAATGTGAGACAGATGAGGAAACACTAGGAGGGAGCTCCCCCCTACTAGGAGTATGGCCTGTCACATTCTTATGCCTGCTTAAAGATGGAAGATCAAAGAACTGCACTTCTGTTTACACTCTGGCTGGCCTGTGTGTTGTCATGGTATCTAGATTATGTCCTATAGGAATTCCTCTGGCAGGAAATTCAGTGTTTCTTTCCTTCTGCCTTGTCAGTGTCACCTAATCCTTGTAAAAGGTTGGATTAGCCCTTTTCTGTGCTGGCTGGCTCTTTCCCTGCCTGCTCATAATATAAATTCTTGGACCACTGACTCACGTGCTTGTCATTTCCTCGGCTGGAATAGGATAAACCAAAGACTACAACTTGGGGAGAACATGGTGCCGTCATCACAACAATTTTTTGGAAGTTGGGCTAATTCAAAGGTGATTCAGAGGAGATGCTAGATCATTTAGAGGCAGCTTCTAAAAAGTGAAAGGGCTCTGGAAAACTCCTCGTAATGATGCGAGGGACGTGCAGGCTTCTGGTTTCCCTAGCAGGGTCAGGAGGCTCTTCTCTCAGCCTCAGTCCTGCTCCTGCTGTGACTCCGGGGCTCTGCCCCCTGCCCTCCACAGTGGGGCGTGAGGGATCTGGAGCCATCCTGGCAGGACAGCCAGCCCGTCACACGGCTCACCTGAGGCAGCGCTCGGATGGACGTGACTCCAGCTTGTTCTTGTGCTGTCTGGACAGTGTAGCTGCTGGGGCTGCCCACGGGGAGCGGGAGGCAGGCGAAGACCACCAGCTTTCTCCGGAAGCCACAAGCACCCACGGCGGCGTTGGCCAGGACCAGTCCCAGGGGCCAGAAGCGGGTTACTGCCCCCAGGAGCCTGGCCTGTGCCTGGGGCAGTGGCAAGGAGCTCGGGGAACAGGTGACTTGAGATGAGTGTTGTTCTTCCACACCATCCAGTTCTTTAGAAGCAAGGAAGGCCATTCTAATCTTAAAAAGAGAACACCACTTTATAGCTGTCTCTTAATGCAAAACAGAATCCAAAAGTCTCTTTAATAATTCAGCTTAACAAGGTGAACTGAAGGGCACCTGGTTTGATGTGGCACAACTTTATACCCAAGGCAGCTGTGCTGAAGCCTTACATATGCTGTTTTAAAAAAAATAACAGCCTTTGGGGTGTGCTCAGAGCAGGGGGGGTCTGTCTAAAGAAATGGCTCGTCTGTTTACAACACACCCGACAGGAATCAGGGTTCATTGTGACAAGGGGCACAAAACTTGTGGCCTTCCTATGAACAGATATCCAACACATATCCCCCCTTCACCTGCACGTGGCTGCTGGGCAGGACCAGTGGGACAGGGCTCAGTACTGGAAGGAAAGCTACAGTATTCAGTGGGGGTGTTTGTTTGCCACCTGGAGCCTGTCCGGTCCACGCTGGGCCATGAGTGGTGTTATAAGCATAAAGACTTTGAACCCCTCTCGTCAAGGAAAAAAGAATAATAGATTCCGTGTATATGCCATTCTGGAAAAGGCAAAACAATGGAGACAATAAAAAGATCAGTGGTTGCCAGGAGTTTGCGGGGGAGGGGAGATGAATACATAGAATACAGAAGTTTTTATGAGCGGTGAAAATACTTTGTATGACATTATAATGATTTTATGTCATCATACTATTGTCCAAACCCGTAGAACGGGCAACACTATTCACTTCATAAAGCGAACCCTAAGATGAACTGGGGACTTTGGTGATTATGATGTCAGTGCAGTTCAGCCTTAGTTTAAAAAAGTCTTAAAAAGAACTAACACTCAGGGTAGACGTTTTTGGCAAAACCTTTGTTTCACTTTTATATATGTATACACATTATATATGTGTTTGTTGGATTATGATGTAAAATGTGCTTTTTAGAATAAAAAAGTTTGCAGGTTACTGTAGTTGTACTGGCAAATAAAAGCACAAATTAAAAAGAGAATAATAGCCTTATTGAGATCTAACTGAAATACCATAAGATTCATGCTTTTAAAGCATACAGTTCCATGGTTTTTAGCATATTCCCAAAGTTGTTTGTGCCACTCTACCGTGTCATAACCGTCCTGTGTTGTAGGCGGTGTCGTGTCCACTTCATTCTTTTTTTTTTTTTTGTGGTAGGCGGGCCTCTCACTGCTGTGGCCTCTCCCATTTGCGGAGCACAGGCTCCGGACGCGCAGGCCCAGCGGCCATGGCCCATGGGCCCAGCCGCTCCGCGGCACACGGACCCGCGTCCCCCGCATCGGCAGGCAGACTCCCAACCACTGCGCTACCAGGGAAGCCCTCCACTTCATTCTTGAGGACACGAGGCCGCCCGCTCTGCAGTGGCGGGGCCAGCACTCCAGCCTGGGTCCATCATTGCCCACCCTGACTTCTCGGGTCAGTACTCACTCTCCACTCCTGCCACGCGCGTTTGATGACCGTGGCAGCTGCGTGCAGCCTCTGGATGTGCTTCCGAGTCAACCAGGAACGAACAGCTGAGGGGTTCGTCCAGAAACAGGAAATAAGAGTAAATGTTCGTCAGAGCTCTCTGTAACCAGGCTGCAGCAATACCAGAGCAGCTGTAAACGTTTGAGTGAATGGCCACCTGTGCCACCACATGAGGTGAGGGACTTGAGTCAACACGTGAAGCAGACCTGGCTCTGCAAACCATAGCTCAGACTGCCCAGACTTGGAGATAGATACCTACACATCAAACGGGCAGCTGCCATGGGGTCACCTCCCACCGCGGGCTCAGTCTGAGGTAATGCCCAGGGAACAAGAGGGGTCTGAATTGTCTGCATCTTTCACCTGTCTTTTTGGAAACCCTTAACTGAATTTGCTTACCTGCGTTATGAATCCACAAACGACACCCGCATACACCCATGCACTGGTGAAGGTAATAACTACTGGATGGGGAGCTGATCACAGGGCAATTTTCATTTTCTTTTGAAATTTCAGCATTTTCTAATTCTTTTTGGTACAATCATATTCAGAAAATGGGCTGTTCGACTAAATACTAACACATTTGGATTCTGAAAAACTAAAAAGTTTAAAGATGCGTAAAAGTCACCTATTATCTCACCAGCCCAGATAGTTCTACAGTATCTCCTTATCTTTTTTCAGGCCTGTACACACAGACGCACCTTATGAAGGTGGCATCACCTTGATGTGTAGTTCAGCATTCAGATTTGAATATCATGTTGGAAATGTTTTTCCGGTAAATTAAAAATATTCTTCAAAAACACTTCTTAGCTAGATAAGGATCGTCCATAATGTAGCCATGACTCCACCACTGTCAGATATTTGGGTTGTTTCTAGTATTTTTTTCAAAATGAGGCTGCTGTGTCATGGTTCATACATTGCTTCCTTAATCAGATCTTCTCAGTTTTTACCTTCTCCTTAATTAAACTCAGCACGCCCAGGAGCCCAGGTAATGCTAAGAGTTGTCATAAAGGGAAAAAAAGGTGGCATAAACAGCTATCTAGGACTGGGAAAGGGGAATTAAAGGCAACTTTTGAGCCTCTACTACCTACAAAGCACCCTTAGTTGTGGTGTGGCCTGGTATGCACTGAACTGGAGATGCTCTGGGTGAACTGAACAGGGGATTCGAATCCCAGTGCACCACAGAGACATGCAGTTAACCTCTTGGGGCTGGGACCCAGTCAGCTTTGGTCTGTGGGGACTCTAGCAGGAGCATTTTGAAAGAAACAGGTATCACGTGGGCTGGATCATGTGCAGCTGCAGACAGTGGCCGCACTTAGGCCCACCTGCTGGCCAGGAATGATAACTGCCGGCCCAGGGCCCCACCTCTCCTACCTGCCTGGATGAGCACGGCGGCCTGCCTCTGCCTCTCCTGCTTGCGGCCCCAGTGTCGCCTCCAGCCACCCTGGATGCAGCGGGCACACTGCTCCAGCACCTGGGCACGCCCGCGTTCCAGAAGCTCCAGCTGGGAGAAGGGGCATCCACTGAGGTCCTCAGCCTCTCCTCCCCGTGCCCTCAGGAGGGCCCAGACCCTGTCCTGCTAAGGACAGCACGTGGCTGGCCACTCCTCATCCCAAGTCAGCTTACCGTGGAGTCAGTCATGAACACCTTGGTCCTGCCACAGTGCACTGGGGCTGGCGTGGCCTCAGCTGGTGCCCGAGCCAGGGCTGGCAGAGTGTGGAGGATGTCCTGGAGGAGGGCTTGCAGCGTGGCCTGCTTGGAGTGTGGAGACCATTCTGGGGGACGGAGACAGAGGTCCCATAAGTGCTTCATTGTCTACACACTTCTGTGGCCTTAAGAAACTGGTCTGGTCTCCCTAACATTCCACAGGATTCTTTCCTGCTATTCTTGCCTCTAACCATTTCTACCTCCTTCCTTTAGGGAGGAGGCCAGAGGTGGCCTCCCACTGTCCCTCAGATCCCTGGCAAATCCCATTTGAGGCTATGCCCTGGACTGGCCTGCAGCCTCCATTCCTGTGGGTCCCTTTGGGCAGGGTGGCAGAGGGCACCGAGTGCCTTGACTCCCACGTGGACTCCCAGGCTGCTTAGCCAGCATCTGTTTCTACGGCCCCAAACATGCTGAGGGCCAAACAGGGCAGCCAGGCCACTCCCTCTGCCCCTGAGCCCTTCCGCCACTGACGGGAAAAGGGGGAACAAATCCCAGTCCCATGGAGGCCCACCGGGTCCCCCTGCCTGCCCTCCCACACCTGGCAGGGCCGGCTCCTGTAGAGGGAGGATTTACCTGAGGGCTCTGACCACCTTTAGCTGCCCAGTGCCTCTCTGGAGGCTGCCAAAGGAAACGCCGCAGACGAGAAACAGCAGCAAAATCAACCAGGGGCCAGGGGCTTGGGGCAAGAGACAGAACAGAAGAGCACACCATGGAGAAAGGGGGCGGGAGAGGTGGGAGAAAGGATGAAAGGAAAGGGACAAGATCGTGCCCAAGAGAGGGAAATACAAAGCAGTACTGTGCCTGGGCTGGTGTGTGTGTGTGCCCACCTGTGCCCAGGCCTCTGACTCGCACAGTCTCAGTGACGCCACATGCAACAACCCCAGCAGACCAGGCCTTTCCCGAGGTGGGGGCTGGCCAGTACCTTGCGGATGTCTCCATTGGCCGGGCAGGGCTCAGCAGCCTCCCCAGACCCCTCTTCCTCACTGGCCGGGCACGGCCAATTCTCTCCTCTCCTCTCCCTCTACATCGAATCACACGCTTGCCAAGTCTAGCCAATTTCTTCCCAACATTTCCCGGCTGTGCCCAAATCTCTAGCTTCTCTCCCGTCTGGCCAACCACGGGGCGCCCCACCGTGGCCTCCAGAAAGCATGAGGCTGACGCCACTCCCTTCGTCCCCCGAAGTGCCTCCCATCTGCCTGGAGGAGAAGGTCCAGCTCCTGCGAGTGGGCCTGCCTGTCCCCCAGCCTACTGTTCTTGCCCTTATGAGCCAGCAACACTGAACAGCCTGGAGCTCTTCGCACACACAGTGCTGTCCCTGCCTGTGGAATGCCCCTCACCTGGCTAATCCCATCTAGCCTCAGACACCACCTCCTTCAGGAAGCCTTCCCGATTCATACCTGTCTAGCACCACCCACAGCATCCTGTTCCTAACTTTGTGTCTCCACTTTCCCCATTGTTTAACTGTCTTCTTTTAGTCTGTTTCCCCCACTGAGGCAAGAGCCACAAGGGCAGGGCTGTGTTTTATTCATCTCTGAAGCCCCAGCCCCTCGCCCTAAGATGGCCCAGGTAGGTGCTCAGGAAACTGGGTGAACAAGTGACTGGCAAATGGGCGCCTCACCTGAGCGCCCTTCATCTGGAGGTGGGCCATGAGGGCTGGGGGCTGCGCCAGGACGGAGCCTTCTCAGTAACTTGTACCGCTCCAGGAAGTTCCGGTGAGAGACCCTGGAAGCCAAAGCAGGCGGAAGGAGAGATGAAGTGACTTTGGCCGTGAGCCAGGAGTCACTGTTTCATCTGCTCAACCACCAGCGAGGGGCTGCCCTGACTGTGCCCGCTGAGCGGATGGCATTACTAGGCCCCTTGGCGGGAAGCCAGTGGAGACCAGTGCATGCTGGGCTTCCTGCTCCTGCAGCCTTGGTCCTACCCACACGGAGCCTTGCTCTTTTAGGAGGGGATCTGCAGCCTGCCCCCTCCCAAAGGGGCTCGCCAGCCTCTCCCCAGACACCTGGGTCACTCCTGCTGTGAACAGGGGCTCAGCACGTCTCCCCTCTGACGCCACAGCCCCCTCCACTGCCGCCTGGGGTCTTGGCTCCCCATCACGGCA